CAGCAGGGACATACGGTGGGGGCAGGAGACATCTGTCCTCACTTGCTTGTTCCTGAAAGGCTACGATGCACTGACCTGCTTCTAAGATCTTGGGGACCAGGACTCGTGGCGCCCCACTAGGCGGTACAGGCTCTAGAAGCTGCTCGTGTCTACGGTGCATTTGGATGGGTGAAAGGCCAAACACACGACACGACACGTGAAGTGTTTCCAGATGAAACCATGCTGGTCTCAGACTGGCGGGAGCCCTGGCCTACGTGGACGGCCGGGTTGGCAGTTCTAAGCCACCAGCCACTGAAGAGAGGGAGTTGAGGCTGTCTGCTCCTGTGAGGATTTACACCTTCAACACCACACCCCCCACCACCAATGAGGCAGGTCTGCTCTGCCAGGCAGGGTCACACGATGAGTCAGGTTCGACTTGATGGTGGTGGGTTAGGTTTCAGGGCGTAACTGACCGATATCTTCAAGGTCAGCCCAGAAGCTAATGGGCATAGGAGAGGGGGAACCTAGATATAACTGGCCGCCCACCAGAGCAGGGGGACCCCAGGGACTGGTGCAACTCCTAGGAGCGTGGAGTGGGTTCCGCCCGAGGACGGGATGAGAAGAGGAGACGGGAGGTCTGGCAGTGAGCCCACGGGCTGGGAGGGCTGAGCAGAATCCCAGGGGAGGAGGACACACTGCAGACACTCACCTGAGAAGGCGTCCACCAGGTAGAGCGGGTCCTTCACCGGCCTCAGCCCGCAGATCAGCAGGAAGACGTGCACGTGATGGGTGCTGTGGCCAATCTCTGCAACACAAGGGTGGACGCGCTTGGAAGCAGAAGGACCCAGAAGCAGCGACGAGGCAGCCGGGCCGTTCCCAAACCCGGCTCAGGAGCCCGGGCCTCTGACCTCAGCTGGCTGTTCCCACCACTGGGAGGTGAGCCTCCTTTCTGTGAACGCGCCCCTTGTCCTAGTGGGAGCGTGCACACTGAGCTCGGAAGGGTAAATTCGCCTCTCCTGCTGTCAGGAAGGGCAGCTGGGGTGGGGGGTGGAGGACTTGCTTACTCGTGGTCCTGAGGTCTACCCAGATCCCATGCACAATGACTGGCCTCTCCCTGTCCAGGGCAGAGAGCACAGAAACCATCAGTTGGATGGACTTCCGGCCCCCGTAAATACCAGTCTCCACAGGCCTGAGACCAGAGGATCTAGGTGGTGCCCGGCTACCACTGCCAACCACTCTGAAAGGGGGCGTGCTAGAAGGTGCTGGGTAGAGAGGGAGGAAAGTTCACAATCCTCAGACAGATTGGGCTTACTGGCCGGACGGAGAGAGGCTGGTGAGTCTTCCAAGAACAGGGCCTGGGCACGCTTCAGGCCTGGAAGGGAAGGTGCCACCCTGGCTCAGTTCTCCGTCAAATCACAGCCAGGTTGGCGAGCAGAACAGGAGCGGAAGAGAGGGACATGCTCCGCCAAATGACATCACAAACACTGGGACCCAAGGGGAGCGTTTACCGGGGCGCCCAGGGAATTGGCTGGGCAAGTGCCGTGGCATCCGGGGGACTATAGCGAGGGCCTGGGACAAATGTGCACGTGTGTGCGAACCGCCAAGTGGAAAGCGGACCCGCCCTACATGCCCTCACCCTGTTCACCAGGAAGAGTGAGAAAGTCAAGCCAAACGGAGAACAGAACCAGCGCCCGAGATCACCTGTGAGCCTGTCTCCTCCAGTCTTAACACCCAAACAGCAGGTTCTCGTGGCAGGTGGGAGACAGCACCCCCCGAGCAGGGTGCCCTTTGAAGGACTATCGATAAGGGGCCACTGGAAGTTTGTGGGGGGTTCTCTTTAGCATTGAACCCCCACTTTCCCATGTCCTTTATAAGCGCCCTCTGGCCACACACAGACACCCCCACTCCGGCGGCCCCTGTGCATCTGAGCGGAGTCTTGCTCCGCAGGACGTCTGATGGCGAGTGCTCTGACAGCAGGTAGCCAGGCCTTCACTTCCATGCCCGCGGGGGACTCAAGCCTCCCGCCGCCTGACCAGACGTCGAGCACACGAGCCATCAGTGCCGCCCAGGGCCACAGACGAGGGGACTGTCCACTGCAAGAGAGAACCAACTTAAGCATTGGCAGGGGGAGACCTCTCGCCTCTGGAACAATTACACTGCTGCAGACAGGAGGACCCAGGGCCCGGTCAGAGGCACCAGGGGCAGTGGGGGGGAGTGCTCCAGGGACTGGCACAGCAACTACAGCAATGTCCCCAAGCACCAGGCAGTGTCCTTCTGCTGCTCGGGGCCACCGGGTCAGGACAGTCACCACGTACAGAGGAGGGACTTCGGCCCTCAGTCGGGAGGTCGCTGACCCCAGGTTGCCTGGCAACTTCGGGAACACTTTACAGGAAGGCTCACGGAGACCCAGGAGCATGCTCCAGAGACGACTCCTAGTGAAAGCCTGACAACCCCCGGGCACCCCACCCCGAGGTGCTGGTGCGGACCAGGCCCTGTGGGGAGTGGCGAGACAGAGCAGGGGCAGATGCTGCATGTCCTGTCTCTTCAGTCTCGGGGGTTAAGGGCTTGGCTTCCCACTGGAAGGTCGGTGGTTTGAACCCACCAGCCGGCCACTCCTAGGGAGGTTGAGGGGGTTGTTTGCTCCTGTAAAGACTCAGAGCTTCAGGATGTGACCCTGAGCTACAGCAGCCTGCAGGACAGCAGAGCTGCCCCAGAGGGTTTCCAACACTGTGTGTCTTGACGGCCCGACAGCTGTGTCTTCCTCCCTCAGGGCAGCTGGAGGGCTTGAACCACTGGCTTTGCAGTCTGGAGCAGAGTGCTTCAGCACCGCACCACCCAGGTCCCTCTCTCTCTGCCAGCCAGCAGGCAGGCGTCCACTCCCAGCAGCCCCACAGGACAGGCTGCAGCCACCCCGGTGGATGCCGTGACTGGGGCGGCTGGTGGGTTAGAACGGCTGACCGTGTGGGTAGCAGTCCAGCACGTAACCTGTGATGCCCCATGGCTCCTCGGGGTCCCCCTCCCCAGAGCCCTCTGCCCTGCGGTGGACTCCACAGAGGGCCACCGTGGAGGAAGCAGACGGCCTCGTCCCGCCCAGCCTCCAGGGCTCCTGAGAACACTGACAGCTATGCTGACAGCTATGGGTGTTAGGATCTCACTTCACGGAGCCAGTTCTGTTCTCAGGAGCTCTCTTCCTTTCTACAGGAGTTGGCATTGTGCATGTGATTAATAAAGAAAAACACAAACAGAACCTGTGGCCGGCATCCTTCAGGAAAACAAAGGATACCCGGTGCTCACACCTGGGGGTACATCCTGAGAGCAGCACCAGGGGCCTGGTCACCCCACTGACCCTCCCCACAGGGGCCTGGTCACCCCGCTGGCCCTCCCCACAGGCCAGCTGGTAGCACCATACCGATGGGCTCCCTGCTCCCTGCTCCATCCTTGCAGCAACTGCTGCCCTGACCCGACCGCCCTTCCACACTTTACTGTCCCCTCAGAGGGCCTCACTGCGGAGGTCCATTGTCCATCAGCGATGGGCAATGGACGAGCATTCTGATTCTAGATGGTGGCTCAGGGCCCACTCCCCAGCCTCCCCATTGTCCTTGCTGCCATCTGAGCGTCCCCTGGGCACACTCTGCCCTTCCCTCCCAGATGGCTGACCGACCTGGTGCTGTCCCCGGTGGGCCTGTCCTTCGTGTGGCCGCGGGGCGAGCTCAGCACCAGCCTGAGAGCGACTACCGCCTGTCTCCAAGGTTCCTCCAGGCTCCCTCGGGCCAGGGAGGCCCGTCTCCCGAGGCTCGACAGCTCAGGCTGCACAGCTTTACCCCACTCTGTCTAGCGCCTCGTCCTGGGGCCACCTGGTGCTTGGATGCTCACAAGGAGGGACTGACTGACCCCCGTGGGCAGGGCGCCCCCAGCAGACCCGGGGAGGGGCGGGATGTCACTCACCGGCACGCTGCAGGAAGGTGCTCCAGTGGAAGGCGGCATTGGGAGCTGTGCTGATCCCTGCGTGATGGGGCAGAGAGACAAGGGGCGCTTAGAGAGACTGCCGAGGGCTCTGAGCACCCCCCTGAATCCCCTAGCCCCCAGGCCTGACCTCCGGAGTCCCCAGCTTCCACAGCAGCAACCCTGCTCCAGCCTCGGCCACTCCTGGGGCCGCCCCTGTGCGTCCCTGTCCCTGTCCCTGTGGCTGCCGGGTCCTAGAATTGCCCCTCGGGGCTCTAGAGGAGCCCTGCTAGAGCAGTGGGCTTCCACAGGCTGGGCCACTAACCACAAGGTGGGAAGTTTGAAACCACCAGCGCTTTTCAGGTCAAAGATGAGGCTGTCACCTACCCCCTCCTACCCTACCCCCCCAATCAAGATGCGCTGCCTGGGAAGCCCCCAGGGGCAGCTCTACCCTGTCCAGGAGGGTCACTGTGAGTCAGAGGGGGGCATCTTCTCAGAATCGGGTGGCCACATCTTCCTCCAGGGGGTGGGCAGGGGGGAAGACATCCACCTGGTGGGCTTGACTCGCTGACCTTGCGGTTAGCGGCCAAGAGCTCACCTGCTGTGCCACCCGGGGGCACAGTTCTGCGAACATTGAGTTCCTCTGACAGCGCAGTGCAGACACGCACATGGTGCAGACACGGGGGTGCAGACACGCATGTGGTGCAGACACACACGTGGTACAGACACACACGGTGCACACACACACATGGTGCAGGCATAGTGCAGTGCAGACACACACGGTGCAGACACACGTGATGCAGACAGCCTGGTGGAGACACACACGTGGTGTGTCTGAGCCCACCCAGGAGCCCCTCAGAAGAAAGGCCTGGCGCACCCCCTTAAGACTCAGATGGCAGCGTCCTGTGGGGCAGTCCCTCGCTAGCACACGTGGGGGCACCAACTATGGGCTCAGCCCCGCTGGTCAGCTGATGAGACCACTAACCCCCAGGGGGACCTGCCTTCACTTGAAACCCTCTGCTGGGGCCCATGCCACGTCCCTCCTCAGCACCTGCTCGCCTTCAGACAGGTTTGAGATGCTGAGTCCCTGCATCCCTGGTGCACACGAGGCTCAGTTGGTCTCAGCACTGGGAGAGCTCAGCCCATCCACCCTCTCTACTCGCCCATCCGCTCCGCTGTGCCCTTCTTGCCGAGCCACCAGGAGGCCTCACGCTGCCCTGGGCACAGAGTGGCTGCTGTGGATGCTACTCCGCAGCCCTCCCAATTGTTGGGCAGGTGGCCTGCTCCAGGGCCCCTCGAGGGAACCTCAGAAAGCCAGCCGGCCAAGCTGGCAGGGAGGGGGCTCTGAGACGCTCCCTTGGCCTGTGATTCTCCACCCAGGCTGAGTCTTTATGAAACCGGGGCTGTGTGGCCACCAAGCAGTGGGCACCGCAGTCCTGTGCTCCCTGCCTGCCTGTGTCCCACCCGGTCATTCTCGTAGCCTTTCACAGGGATTCCGTCAGGGACTGTGCCCACAGACCTACATGCCCACAGCCTTCTCCAGGCTCTAGGAGACCAGCGTGTGCCCTCTCTGCACTGAGGATGCTGCACACAGCAGCCGAGCCTGGAGATGGGGGGGCGGGCCCTGCACCCCGGGGTCTGGCCTCGGAGATGGCCCTCCAGCTTCCCTGCTATGGCCCAGGGCTTCCGCGGCCACCACGTGGGCTGGGCAGCAGTCCCCACGCGTTAGGTACCCGTGTGTCCTAACTGCAAGGCAACCTTCTCCACATCCCCGTGGAGCCGTGTCCTAACTTGTCATGAAACATTCTCCGCACTGCCCGGCACTTGGCGGTCCGAGTACGCAGGCCCTTGTGGCCGGCAGCACCTGCCCCACCCGTCTCTCCACCGCCCTGCTCCGATGTCAGAGCGGCAGCAGCTGCGCTCACCTTGACTCTGCACGAGTATCTTCCCCTCCGCGTGCGGCTGGGAGGAACGGGAGAAACCAAGAGAAAACACACACGTAAATGCCACGGCCCAGACAAAGCCACGCGGGCCCCAGTCTGTGGGCGGCCCACGAGCTGCCGTGGGGAGGCAGGGGAGGGCACTTTCACTGGACATTGACCAGCAGCCTAGTGGACGCATTAAGGAAGCTCGTCCAAGACAGGCCGCTGAAGGCCCCCCACCCCCTGGGATGCCCCCATGAGACCCTTGCCCCTGGGAAACCCCCATGTGAGGTTCCTGCCCCCTCCAGACACCCGTGGAAGACCCGTACCCCTGGGAAACCCCTGAGTAAGACCCTTGTCCTTTGGGATATCCCTGTGAGACCCCCACCTGCCCCTGGGGATGCCCCGAGACCCGCCCTGTTCCAAGGCTGGTGCAGCCGGGGCTCGGAGCAGCGTGGTTTGCCTACACACCCTAAGTGAGACCTGGGAGTCCAGAAAGACGCCCTCCCCCCCTGCCCACAGCAAGAAACAAAACCAACAGGCCGAGTTCTTCCACCAAGCACATGACTGATGTCCGGTTGGGAAGGGGCCCCAGGCTCTGGGGTGGGGGCCAGGGGGCACTTCTGGGGCTGATGTGGGCACTTGCGCCAGGAGGGAGGCAACCACTCCTGTGTGCTTTCAGGCCGAGTCCCACAGAAGTCAACGGGGAAAGTACCCCTCTCGCCATGACTGTCGTCGGACGGAACCCAAGATAACAGGACAGGGCGGGTGTGCCCACGGGCTCTGGAGACAGAAGACTCACCACCCCCCTGGCTGGCCAGTGGGCACACACTGTCCACTTGCCTGTGAGCAGCTCAACGTTCACTCTCTGCACCCCGGGGCTCCCTTGCTTCACCATTGGAAGCATACATCAACTGAAGCCTTCTCTTTCAAGAAACCGGCCCCCCTGGGCCACACCCGCTCCCGCCAGAGACACTGAGCTGGTCACTCATCTCCACAGGGGAGTGAGCTTCCTGCCAGCAGAAGGTGTGGGTTTAACTACTGGCTTGTGCCATTGCTCAAAGATCTCTGAAACGCTAGATAAAAAATTAGTCCGAATCAAGTCCCCAGGACTCAGATTCAAACCTCCTGCCCTCAGCCTCACCGGTCAGAGCAGAACTGCCTCCTATGGTTTCCGGGGGCTGCTGTGGGACACAGAGGCTGCCTCACCCTCCTCCCACGGAGCGGAGGCTGGGCTGGAACTGCTGAGCTGCCGGTTAGCAGCCGAGCGCTTTGACCGCTGTGCTCCTGGGGCTCCTCCGTTCAAGACCCCCAAAGGACACATGAAGGTCTTATCCAGCACACCAGCGAGAAAGGGTCAGACACATCGGGACTGGGGCTTATTTTCAATCATTGTAATAAGTGGAATCGGGCCAAGGCCAACTGGCTGATATTGATTTTGAAGAACACTTTCTAAATTATAGTGCTCTAAATACAAATTAGCTTTCTTTGATCGATATTTATTGCTGTTTCACTCGCCTTGAAGTAACGTAAGAGTCAGTCAAAAGGCTTGTACATCACTGGCTGGATTAGCTCATCAGTGCAACCCATGAATGGCAGCACCAGGTGTGTGTGTGTGTGTGTGTGTGTGTGTGTGTGTGTGTGTGTGAGAGAGAGAGAGAGAGAGAGAGAGAGAGAGGTGTCTTTCAGTCTCATATCGACGGGGAGCGTCATTAGTGGGGTCCATGGCCAGACAGAAGTAGTCACAGTCCTGCTGCAAGAACGGTGACCCCCTGCCATCGACGCCAGCTCTCGGCAACCTTATGGGACCAGTGAGAACTGCCCCATGGGTTTCTGAGACTAACTCTTCACGGGCACGGGCAGCCTCATCTTTCTCCCTCAGGGCAGCTGGTGGTCTCAAACCGCTGGCCTTGTGGTTGGCAGCCCAACACAGAATCCACCGTGCCATGAGGCCGCCATGCACCTCCTCCCTGCAGCAGCCCACCACAGAAGAGCAGACACAGAGTCACATAGCCTCCAGGTTAACCTGGACGCCATCAACTGGACTCTCCTGGGGGCAACCGGTTCATGGGGAGCAGGGTGACCCAGCCTGTGCACTCGATGCCAGGGTATCAACTTGTGAGACTGAGCCTCAGCTTGGTGCTCGATGGGGGGTGGGGGAGGGACAGACGATGACCATGTTTACTTGGAAATGACAACCCCGACCATGGGGCTGGCCCACCATGAGACACGACATCCCTCACTGACCCATAGCACTTTGAGGGACAACACCGGAGGCACAATGTGGAATTGTGCCCAATCTGAACCCACCACTCCGGGCAACACACTAGGGGCACGCGACAGAGCAGCAAGGGGAGCAAAGTAACGAAGTCCCTGGGAAACACCAAGAATAGACTCTGGGGCCAGGGTGCCTGTGGCCCCCCATCAGACTTGACCAGAAAACACTCCTAAAGGTCAACAAACAGACCTGGAACTATTTATAGGTTTTTCTTTTTCTGTTGTCGTCAATGTTTTTGTTTTGTTTCGCTCTGTCTTGTTCTTGTGCTTATTATTGTCTCTGCAGGTCTATCTAGATAAGACAGGTG